GCATTTTATATATATATTTATATCTATATATATATATGCTATATACACTATATATATGCTATATGCTATATACTACATAATGTGGATTATATACATATAATATGTCAGGTCATCAGGTAATTGAGAAGACAAAATGTAGCTGTGACAAAATGAAAATAGCTCAATACTACTTAATTGTGTGGGAGTGGGAGAGTGAGGGAGAGCAGAAAATTATCAGGCTGGAATTTTAAGGAAAGGCCAAATTATGCAAGACCTTGAAGTCATTTAAAGAAATGTGAACTTTGAATAATATTGGTTATGACACTGAAGGCTTTAAAAGTGAGAAGAGGGTGAGCTACATGAATATACTGTATTTAGAAAGATCATCCTGCATTCTATATAGGGAATGAATGGGAAGTGGGAAGACTAGAAGGGAAATCAGTTAGGCGAATGATGTCATTCAGGCAAGACATGATAGTTGAAGAGTAGGGATGAAGAGAAGTGTCTGGATTTGAAACTATTTAGGCAGTAAATAGTTCTGTGATAGCTTAGCTATTGGGATTGTAGGAGGAAGAGTCAAGTATGAGTTTTTGATTTGGACGACTGAATGGTTTGTGGTAATGTTCACTGGAGGGGATTCATAGGATGAGAAGTAGGTTGCATTTGAAGAAAGAGGTTGAAAGAGGGCAGAGATGAGTTCAGCTTTGGGCCTATTTTGTTTGAAGTTCCTGAGGGACATTAAAATGTAAAAAAGTCAGTAAGATATACAGATCTGAAACTCAAAAGATCATTCTCAGCTGCAAAGGTATAAATGGATAGTCGTCAACAGGCTGAAATTACACCAGTGGATGAATTTTCAGAGTATATGAGAAAAAGGAACAGAAAAGAACTGTAGAGGCATGAGTCAAAATTAGCTTGGCAAATTGCAGAATCTGTATGGGCCAGTGAAAAATGTATTTTGGCTTCTAATATTCTATTTTATTTTACCTATTAGAGAAATAACTATATACCTTCCTTAAGTGGTAGCTTTCTAGGGACCAAGTCATAACATGTAAACTGAAAGCCCCTTCTATGAGGAATCCCAAGACATTAAGGAAGTGATCAAAAGAAATGAGAGAGTTTCTTGGAGATCCAAGGAGCATGAGAATGCTGAGAGGGGACTGCCAGAAAGAGTGGCACCAATGAGATAGACCTCTCTTTAAGCTCTAGTTTTGTACTATGAACAAGTGTTTTGTTTTGTTTTGTTTGATTCCTTCTTAGCTTACATTCCCTAAACTCACCAAATTAATTTCTGATCTTAATTTGCTTATCCAAAGAGGCTTCTCTTTGAAAAGCAGGTATTTCCCATTGAGATCTAACTGTTGACTCTGTGATACCTATTGACTGCATATAAATAAGTGTTCCTTGGCCTATTCTGTCCTTGTTTGACTGAACAAACAGATACCAGATCTGCACTGGGCGCAGAAAGTCCAAAGCTTGTCACTGAGAAGAGGCAGTAACTTTGAGAATTTTTTCCAATGATAAGCCCCCATATTCAAGTTCGCCCTCCATCAGAGTCATTTTAATAGGGCCTTAAATATAACTTCACAGCTTTAGGTCGAATCTTCTTTTGCATGGTCATCTGAACACCCACTGTCTAGAATTCAGGACTAGAGCGGCCCTATTCCCCCAGGGTTACCAGTGTAAATTCAGTTTCACAGGAGTTTCTACTTTTCAATCTCTAACTCAATTTCAAGATTTATTTGGTCTCTCGATTTCCATATATTTGTAATTTTCAATTTTCATTACTTCTAAATTTCTGTTCTTAGTTCAAAATCTGTTTCTTGTTCCCTTGTTGGTGTCCTTTTCCTCCTAATAAAGGCCACCTAACTGACCTCTTCAGTAATTTATGTCATCTTCTGGAACTCATTTACCTTTCACTGGTCTTCTTCGTCATTGTACAGGTACTATTTTTGCCCCTGTTTTCTTACAGAACTAAAAATGAGTACCCAATAATACGTATCTTATCACTGCATGGATAAAGTAACTCTACATTATGCAAAGAGAGTCATCATTCAAGAAATATTTACCAGCTCCCTATTCTATCACCTGGTATAGTACCTCAGGATCTATCATATAAGAAAGGTTGCCTATATCCTCAGGGAGTTTAGACCAATGCAAAGAACAAACATTAAGCAATTAGTTACATAATTCATGTTTTTATTTATAATTAGGATAAATGCTAACGAAAGGAAAGCACAAGGGGTTAAGAGAGTAGAGAAGGAGACAGGACCTAGTTTGAGGAGATCATTTCTGTAAGAGCTGTTAATTTCTATGAATATAAAAGGAGGAGTGAAGTTGTGGATCATGTTACACTACATAGATTTTCCCATTGGACGCATGGAGCGAGATACAGTGATGGCATCATGGATAGCAATAACTCCATCATGAAGCTCAAAGTGACTTTCCTGTCAGATTAAGGATGGCACAGCATTTATAATAATAAAATAGAACAATATTTCTTTGGGTAGAGTTCTCAAAGCAGACTGATAAATGATTCTTTTAGCTAGAAATCAGTATTTTGGTTTTGTCTAATCTCTTAGTTCTGTTACTACCTTTGTAACTGTGGGCAAATCATGTAATTTCACCAGTCTTCAAGTCCCTCATCTTTAAAATAAGAGGATTTAGGCAAACCTGTGAGTTTAGTTAGCATTTGTCATCTTGGATTCTCCCATGCTCCAGTTTAGCAGAACTGGGAGAACAAATCCGCATTGTCCACCCAGCATCGCCACCCCATCATTATAGCCAACAGTAGTTTTAGAAATAATGTAGTTCGTACCTTTTGTGAATGCTTGCCCAAGAGGCATTGATGTTCTCCGTTATCATGTGTACTTTCCTGGTATCATCTGCAGAATAATCCCGGAGAAGTTTCATTGCCAAGTCATTTGCCACATCTACATTTATCTGCCACTGGCGGAGGTCTTTGGCCAACTGCTATAGATGCACGTGGGAAAGAGAATGAATGTCAAGATTTCTCTGAAATTTCTAGTTGGAGTTTCTTTTTTTTTCCTCTAAAATTTATTTATTTATTCAAATTATAATACATTTATAACACATGTTCGTTATAAAAATGAAAAAAAAAAACCTTGTACAAAGGTGCATAAAGATTAAACCTTAAAATGCTTCATAAATAGCTCCTGAATCCTGTGGTCGGAACATGTCTACATGATTGCTTTTAACCTACCATGTGATTTAGTCAATCATGACAGTATAAGCCAATGCACTTTTCGTGAGAAAACTTTTCAAATGTAGCATCTTGAGCAAGAACCAGTATCAGGTATTTCAATTTAGTAGCAATTAATTGGAAACAAACTAGGCTTAACTGTTTTTTTTTTTAATCATGGGAGAGAACAAATTATAAAAATAGGATCCCATATAATTGTTGAGTCTATGACATATACCAACTTTGAACAGAAAACAATCACATGTATTTTTCCCCTCTTCATTAACTTGTTGAATTGTTTATGTAATTAGTGCCATCTACTGGCATTCAACTAAAGCTGCATACAGAAAATGAACACCAAAGGAACAGTGCTGTTATTCTACTTATAAACTTTTTTGAAGTATCAGTTTGTTCACATCCTTTTAAAAATATCCTATTTTAAAATTAGAATAAAATTTCATATATAACAATCTTGCTGAACCAAATTACCTATGTTTTCTCCTTTGTCTTTGGCAATTGAGCATTATCAAACTATGTATTTCATCACTTGAGGTATCATATATCAAAGAAAGAAAGAAATCAATGAAAAGTTTATCTGGAAGCATATTAACTCCAATTTTTTATTAAGCATCACTTCAAGTGCAGGGAGAAGGCTTCTAAGTGTTAAGATAATATTAAATTGCTAAGATAGCTACATCAAATCCAACATAGCGAGTGAAGCCATTGGTAAATGGCCAAAGGAATAGGAAGGGGCAATTCAAATAAGAGAGAGAAAATAAAAAGTTTTTATAAAAAAAGATAAATATTAATTTCCAAAAAATTTTAAAAATAGAGCACTAAATCAAGATGGCATAATTTGACATCAATTAAATTTATAAAAAATAAAAACCAAAGCTGGAAAGACTGATAAAGTTAGCACATTCATGTACTACTTACTGGGAAGAGTATCTATTGGATGATTTGGCAATAGATATCAGTGACATACATATGCTTACTCTCATTCACCCAAAATTCACTTTTGGTATTTTGTCATGATAAAAAATTAAAAGAAGAGAACTACATTGTAGGAATAAAGATCTCTATTAACTAAGTTAGAAAAAAAATGAGAAACGATTTCAATATTTAATGAGAGGACGTTGAAATAATATATCAACCCAATGGTCTATGTAGTAAATGTGCACAAAAATCATAATAAAAGAACAGAATATAATTTCTATCTGTACTGTATTGCTTAAATCTGTAGGAATACATAGTCATGAACTAGAAGGGCAATAGAGGAAATTGAAAATAATTAATGTTTCTAAAAAGAGTAATCATTTTTGTTTTAATATTTGTTTTTTTATGTTGGTATAATATTTATATAGTGATACAAATCAAACACTACTGCTTTTCACATAGTTTCAGTATGTTTGGGTGGATTGGGTGGACTCCTGTTCCTTCAAAATGTATAAACTGCATATAATCTGGCATTTCCCAGTTAAGCAGAACATCTTGTTCTAGAATCAAACAAAATCATTGCATTTATTACATAGAGCAAATAGATCCAGATACCAAACTAGTACTGAGCAGCTAAAGTCAATATCACTAATTTTTGCTGTGAAAGCAAACAGAGTTTTTAAAGGTACAGAGTGTTGCTGTATGACAAAACAATTAAAAGTTATCCTTTTCGAATGCTTGCCTCTCCTTATATTCTTCTTTTATCAAGCCCTACAGCTCCCATTTTCCACTTTTCTGATCCTTACACTATTCAAAAGCTTTTCTGAGGCCAACTGCACACCCCAAAGGCTTTCCCTTTCTAAAAATTTCCTAGAGTAATGTTAAAAAACACAGGCCCCAAATGGTGTCATTTGTGCTAAAGCCTATGATACCAAACTAGATTTAATACCTGATCTAATTGCAGTTTCAATCTCTTCCAGAAACATAGTCTTAATCAACCAGTCTGAAATTTTCTGGTCAACACCAATGAGGTCATTTGTCATGTGGGCCCTCTCCACTGCTCCCCCGCCTCCTCTATCAACCTTAGAAAGAAGAGTCAATCCGTGTGATAAAAACCTTGCTTGTTCCCTCCCTCCCCGCAAAGAAGATGCCCTGTTCTAAAAATCATTCCTTATTTTATTTTTTAATAGCTCACTTGCCTCACCCTTCTTCATATAAAAAACCTTCCATTTTGTACAAGTCCTCCAAGTATGCTTCTAGTTGCTAGATAGGATGCTGCCAGATTCATGAGTCACTTAATGAAGCCAATTAGATCTTCAAATACACTAGGTTAAAGTTTGTTTTTCTCATGGTACAAAATTACCCCTCCTCACTTAAGCTGAACCTACGGTGTTAAAAGTAATATATACTAAGATATAAAGACCAACAGGCCCTTATTATCCAGAGAATAGTATTTGCATTTTTAAAAAAGAGCTTATTATCTATCATCTATTAAATCTCTAATTGGGTAATCGATAACATAAGAATCCACAAAACTTAGACCAATGACTTGGTTAACTTTTCCCAAGGTAATTACTTTTAAAGAAGAATGCAATTGTTAACAAAATACTTAAGATGAACCAACATCAGAGCACATGTGTAGAGATTCAGAAATATAAAATATAAATTAAAATTTTAATAAATAATAAAATTGCTTACTTTATATAAGAAAGATAATCTTGGAAACCACCCCTCACTCATTGGTTGTTATCTGAAAAGTCTAGATATAAGAGGATATACTCTTTGGTTCTCATCTATAGATCATAAAAAAATACCTAAAAGTACAAGTTAAAAAGTATGCTAGAATTTTCTAAAGTCTTGTAGGAAATAAAAAGCTAAAGTTAAATGAGAGACTTCATAGTAAACAAGTAGTAAAAGAGTGAGCCTTGACTTCAAACCAGAGCTTTTTCATATATTTTAATGCTTGAAAGGCAAAAATGTGCAATTTTTTTCTTCACATTTGTATTCGTACTGAAATTTAGGTTTTTATACCTAAGAAAATCTTGACTGAGTGCTAACCCTCACTGAAAACTGCCCCGGTTTTATGAGAATATAGGATTAAAAAGAAAAAAAAAAAAACCACTGACCTTGACTAACATTGACAGGGCTAAGGCCCTTATCTAAACTCAAAGATTCTCAATCTCAGCATTCTTTTCTCCCTTCTTAAAGACATTCACCAAAACACACTGGTTTTCTTTCCTCCTAAAGGTAATATGTTGATCACCTTGGGCTCTAACCAAATGTCATTCAAGGTAAGAACAATGACCTTGACCAGCTTTGTCTACTACTGTGAAAATTTACTACTGGGATAACTCCAGACCACAGGAGGAGTGTAAATTCAAAAATACAATAGAATTCACACACTCTCTTTCTTTATTTCTGAATTCCATTTATAATGGTATACACTACAGGGGATTGTTTGTATGGTGATCACGGTGTGTGAAGAAATTTAAAATACTGTGAGCATTAGCCTATAAAAAAGATGATTTTGTGGGCATATATATGTATGTGTATGTGTTTTCTATGGAGAATATAAAATGCTTACATCTCCAACCAGGAAAGAAATATTTCATATTCAAATCTAAAATGATGCTGCTGCAGTATGTGCTTGGTATTTACACACAGTATTTTAGACATAAAAAATGATAGTGGACTATGGGGCAACCTGAATTAATTTCCAGAATTTTGAGTATTATAAATTTTTCAATTTTAATGTTTGTCTTCTCATTTTTTTTTTTATTTGTAAGAATTCTTTTTAGGGATATCGACCCTAATGAGAGAAAACAAAGGAAGAAGATGGAGAGTAGTTAGAAGTTTAGGCAACAGAATGAGCCTGCTGCGTTTGAATCTTGGCTTGATCACTTATTAGTTATGTTACAAATGGGAAAGTTAATTATCCTCTCTGTGCCTCGGTTTCCTCCTTTGTTAAATGGTCATGTTAACAGTATTTATATGAAAAGATTGTTATGAGAATTAATTTAGAAAATCCAGGGAAAACCCTTACAGTGGTGCCTAGCACTATCCGATGCATTAGATAAATATTAACTATGATCATCATCATTACAACAACAACAACTACTACTACTACTACTACTACTACTACTACTACTACTACTACTACTTTAAAAATTTTATTCAATTACAGTTAATATTTTATATTAGTTTCAGGTATATAGCATAGTGGTTAGATATTTACATAATTTACAAAGTGATCCCTCTGATTAGTCTAGTACCTGCCTGGCACTACACGTAGTTATTACAATGTTACTGACTATATTCTCTATGTTGTACTTCATATCCTCGTGACTATTTTGTAACTACCAATTTGTACTTCTTAATCCTTTCACCTTTTTCACCCTCCCCCAAACCCTCTACCATCTGGAAATCATCAATTTGTTCTCTGTATCCATGAATATATTTCTGTTTTGTTTATTTTGTTCTTTAGATTCCACATATAGTGAGAGCTTATGGCATTTGTCTCTCCCTGTATGATTTATTTCACTTAGCATTATAACCTCTAGGTCTATCTGTGTTGTTGTAAATGGCAAAATTTCATTTCTTTTTATGTCTGAGTAATATTCCAGTGTGTGTGTGTGTGTGTGTGTGTGTGTGTGTGTGTGTGTATTACCTCTTCTTTATCCAATTGTCTATTGATGGGCACATAGATTGTTTCCATGTCTTGGCTATTGTAAATAGTGCAGCAGTGAACATAGGGGTGTATATACCTTTTTGAATTAGTGTTTTGCATTCTTTAGATAAATACCCAGGAGTGGAATTGCTAGGCTATGAGGTAATT